TATTTACTGTAATAATAATAAAGGTAATTCAGTTTTTAACAGAAAGGAGAGTCCGATTTCGGTAATTCAAAAAAGATTTTATTTGTCTGGAGGTTTTAGAAATAAAGTAAATTTTTTCAAAAAAATGCTATTTGGCGGTCAAAAACTATCATTAGACAGATGCACATTAAATTATTAGATATTTTATGAAGATTTCAATAATAAGTATAAATTTTGTTTATATTTCTATGAGTTCCGTAACCTTTGATATTTCGTCTTTATTTAGCTCAAGCAGCGCGATTGCTTTGAAAAAAAAAGTTCAAAATTTCCAAAATATTTCAGATATAATAAAAAAAAAATAAAAACAATCAAAATTCTCAAAAATCTTTTTTTAGTTTTAAAATAAATTTAAGCTTTTTTATAAATTTTAATTTTTCGTGAAGAAGTTTCAGCAATTTGCTTGAAGGCATGCCATGCATCTCTAGTAAAAAAAATATGATGATATTTGAGATATCTATATGTTAGATATACGAGAGAAGTCGTTTTCGCTTTCCATGGGCCTTTAGAAAGTGTTTGGCCTATAGATTTGGATCGCTTAAAACAAAGTTATATATTGATAATAAATGCAACTCATTACTGTCACTACGCAAATTCGACTAGCACTTTACAAGGTTCTTCGATAATATACCACCGTTTACAAAAAAACTGACTATTTTATCTATTCATTATGCTCCCAAGATATCAATTACAACTTTAACAAAAAATCAATTAAATCCATATAAAATGCAATTCCCTACCTTAAGTGACTTAAAATAAAATACAATGAACATACATGAGAAATAATAATCTTTGATAAATATAAAATTAATCACTTAAGATAAAATCTAATATATATTTAACAAGTATCATCCCTTAACAAGCTACGAATTCGAATTGCATCAGTTGAACCTAAAGTGAAATAGAATATGCTACCTTGAGTAATTCGCTATAAAAGCGCGGGTCGCCAACGAGTCAGTTTTGATTTATCGCAAATACATTTATTGCGCGACACGCTAGAGATGCCGATAATTGCAATAACATGATACACAATACTATAGTTCTTATGTGTGACTGCAAACATAATTGATAAATAGTAAATGCGAACAAAAAAATTGATTAATTAAATAAGTAGAAAAATAACCGCACGAATATTCGTGTTACCAAACGAAACTGGTATAAAAGATATTATGTTAAAAATTTAATTTTCATTCCACTCCGTACTAAAGATTCGATTCGATAAGTTTAAAATAAAAAGTAAGAAGGTCAACGGATTCTTTCCCTTTCGCGGGTAGGTCGCGTGGCGGTTGACATATCGCAGCAAAACGTCGGCGTCGTGCGGTCGCGTCGCACCTCCCCAAAACCAAGTCGCCAATAAATCCACAGATAATTGAACTTATGTAAAAATGTTCATAAAACTAGAAACATTTTGATCATACATTTGATTCATACCATATGGAATTTGATAATACATATGTAATATTTCTTTCAGTGTTTTATTGGTGTTTATATCGAAGAAAATAGTGGTTGTTGAAAAATGTAAAGTACGAACATATTTGAGTCTCATTAAACTCGGAGTAAACTAGGTACATATACAATTAGTTTACAACCGCCTGCAAACACGTTTTATTGTCAATTAGAATACTTATACATTTTCTTATAAATATTTAACCAATTTTAAACATCGCATCTGTTCTCGCAAAAAAAATCGAAAACTAATGAGTAGAGCCTTAAGACAAATTGCTGTAACTTCCAGTATCGTAATTAAATAATCGAGGAATTTTAAATGTTTTTAAATAGATTATTATAAATACTGTATTTTCAATATTCCTATTTTATAGACAAAATAGAAGAGGTTATAAATTGGCGACGATGTTTATGTATGTTTACATGAATAGTAAATGGACAAAACTTAATCAAACGGAGTTAGAATAAAATCCTTATCTCATAAATCTAAGAATTGTATAAACTGAATTGCAAAGTTGAAGTAATTTATTTCAAGTATATAAGTGACCTTTAGAACTTTAGCTAGAATAAAAAAATCCAAATCATTTTCGATATTTTAAAAAATATATACTTTAAAATTTATTTCAACTAATTTCTACACTTCTGCTCTCTTTGATCTGTATCCCCGAAACAGTCGGTCCTGCCAAAAACAAATCAGCACATCTCCCCATCAGTAATAATCTAATGTTTTTTGAATAATTCAGATCAGTTTTTCCATACGCCCAAAATCGTGAATGAAACATTGTATCCACACACACATACGTACACCCATTTTTCTAAAGTATGCCAAAATGTTCAGAAATTTTCATTTCCGATTTTTGGACGATTACTATAACTTACCCTACCGGGAAGTAAAAATATTTCATATCTTGACATTATAAGGTCTTTTGAACATTTTGGCATACCTAAGATAAAAATTAAAATATATGTGTGCGTGTAGGTGCGTTCGGATATAAATTTTCGTTTACAATTTCAAAAA